TACCAGCGGTTTATTGTTCAGTTTGGAGGTAAATTTGGATTTTTTTCTATCGAGAAAATTTTACGGAATCGTGTTTTCGTCTAACATAGTACTGAACATTAATCTTCAACTTTACCATATATTTATTTCAAAATTAATGCTGCAATATTTTCGGCATAACGGAGGATCTTGCTAAGCCATTTGACTTTGAGATAGTATTTTTACTATTTCCCCTTAAGACATAAGTACTTGGAACGTTTTTAGATATAAATCACTTAATACTTTTCATTTTTCGTAAATTATAATTCTTTATCATAATACCTAAATATCATTTGGACATAACTATATTTACATAGACTTAGGATAGTAAGTATATTTTAAGTCTATGTATATTTACATGCATTAACATTTTCTGTTGTACACCCACCTCTATTTTAACCATTGTTTGCATCAGTCCTTCTAGCAAAGGTTGTTTGGAAGTGATCACTTTAATGGTCGCCGCACACGGTCAGTTCAACTGATCATTCCAACTGATCATTTCAAACTAAAACTGTTGATATTTTTTTAAATATTAGATTTTCGATATATATATATATATATATATATATATATATATATATATATATATATATATATATATATATATAGGAATCTGGTGCTGAAACCTAAGTCACCCACCCTGCAGCCCTGATTTAGCTCCTTATGATTTCCTTTTGTTCCCAAGAGTCAAAGAAAAAATAAAAGGCAAGTTTTTTTCAAGCGCCGAAGAAGCCGTGGCTGCCGACGAAGAAGCGATTTCCGACCTGTCAGATCAAGACTGGCAAAAGTGTTTTCAGAGTCGGTTAAGGCGAATGGAACTTTGTATAGAGCATGATGGAGAATATTTTGTAAAGATGTAAAATAAATATTAATAGTATCTAGAATACTTTTTGTATATCTCAAAACTTATCGAATGTCCTACGTATTTCATAAAAACACAGTTTCAATGGAGTATACCACTCTCGAGTTAAGAAAACGTTCAATATTGTAAATGTCTAAATTACAATTTATATTATAGCACAAGCCTTATAAAGACGGCATAAGAGTATCTAGTACCACATGTCGTCTCGTGAATATCGTAACAGGTGACATAGAAAAACCGATACAAGAGCATGAGTATCTTCTAGATAACAACCCAAACTGCTGTCGCCAAACGTGGACTGAACTTTGACAGTATTCCTACGAGACAATCTATGCGGTTGTAGTGATGGTAATAATGAAGATCATGGTTTTTTTTGTGATAATTTTGGGGTATGATATGTTGAATACTGTATACGTTTAGTAGTGTCGAGTCCGTCAAGCGCTCTTGCACCATTGTAGAGGTTCCGAAGAGTTCGGAATTAGAATGTCCTCTACGCTGTCCTACGCTTGCTGGTAGCTACTCATATTATCGTTACCTCTAATTCAGGAGTGGTTATGCACTACCCGTCTAACCATTGGTTGCTATAATGCTCTTTTCTAGTTCGTTCCACTTTGAGCTGGTCGTTTTACTCAGTTTTTTATTTTGAAAAATTATACTTTATAGTGATAAAATGCAATAATGATTTGAGCAAAATAAAGAATTGCCCAATTAGCGAACCGTTGATTGATCCAACGACCGTAAAAATAGTTGTACACCACAATCGCCACAAACGTACGTGTACCCGTCACTGTGGTGACTAGATATGCATAAAAGTATACCGGAGAGTCTTTTTACTGGTAACGTGGCTTCCATCTTAGTTCTCAGGGGTGACGACGTATATCTACGTTTTGATTCTTAATCGAGAAAAAATGTAGATGTCTATGAGCCACAGTTTTATTTTGCCATCAGGTGGAATTTATGCTCGTTGGTCACTTTTATTCTATTAATATTAAAAGCCTTTTGTGTCCCTTCACATTTTTCAGAGGACTGTTTAATGTATAGAGAAGGATGTGTTTTACATATTCTGATCCCACTATGTTTCCCTTTACTGCTTAGGTGAGCACGTGGTAAATGTTTAAATAATTTGCTGCTTAACAATGACCTTTGAAAATTTTTGTTCAGATGTAGAGTCGCCGTCGTCTTCGTCGTCGACTATCATGGCCGCGGTAGTGGCAGAGAGAGAACTTCGAGCGCTTCTAGGAGGCCATCGACAACGAAAAGATGCACCCAACGAGGCCACAGATGTCTTACGAGACTTAGGAATCAATCCTTCGGTTGCCACACGTACATTGCCCACGTTTCCCCCAAAAGCCGTCGACGCGCACCTGATCGAAGAGTGGAGCGAATTCATATCACGCAATAAGGCGATGGATTTACAATTTTCGATGTATGTTGTTTTTTTAGTTGTAATAAACTATTTACAAAGATACAATAGACACCTTCTTTAGTTTAACGTTGCTTTGAAGTTTTTCATTGAAAAGAAGTTAATAAGATTGCCGTTTTAGCTGAGGGCCTAAGCGGCCGCTGTAAATTTCACAGTAACCGGGCGACCCAGATTCAATCCTGAATGAAATTGCAATTTTAAGTGCAGATTTATGAGTACTACGTGTTTGGTGGTAAAGGATAACATCGCGATTGAACCTGCATGTCTGTGAAAGTGAAAAAAAATCAAAGACGAAAAGAAAGACGTGAAGTCTGCCAACACTAATTGGGGAAGTGCAACGGACACCCTGCCCTAAATCCCTCTCAGAAATGGGAGAAGGCCTGTGACCAGCAGTGGCACGAGCTATATATACGTCCTTCTATATATAGTCCCCTCCCCCCTATATATAGGCTGTAACGTTACTATTATCTACGTAAGAGTGCTTGTGATACCTAACATTGAAACAATAAAAATAATACTAATTTTTACGGAATTTATCGCGTATATTTAACTTTTTTACCCGACGTTTCGAGAGCTTTACAGCACCCATGGTCACGGGAAGGACTGAGATGTTCAACGTCCAGCTGTCATAGTTAACCGCGGTTACCATAGATTAAAATTTAACTTTTGTTCCGATCTACACAGTATGAACTTATGGTATCATGGAGTCTTGCAGTTGTATGCTTGGGTTGGGATTTAATTTTATTTATTATAGGATCCCAAGCAGATGGTAGCACCCAGCCATCTTCTCTATTGAAATTAGGATGTTTTTTGATTTCAATAGCCTCGCGAATCATCCTTGGAAGGAATCGGTGTTCTTTAGCGAGGATTTGTGGTCTATCAAATCTGATGTAGTGACGGGGGGCGATCCTGTACATGTTCACAGACTGCAGACTTCACTACATCACGTCACTACATCAGATTTGATAGACCACAAATCCTCGCTAAAGAACACCGATTCCTTCCAAGGATGATTCGCGAGGCTATTGAAATCAAAAAACATCCTAATTTCAATAGAGAAGATGGCTGGGTGCTACCATCTGCTTGGGATCCTATAATAAATAAAATTAAATCCCAACCCAAGCATACAACTGCAAGACTCCATGATACCATAAGTTCATACTGTGTAGATCGGAACAAAAGTTAAATTTTAATCTATGGTAACCGCGGTTAACTATGACAGCTGGACGTTGAACATCTCAGTCCTTCCCGTGACCATGGGTGCTGTAAAGCTCTCGAAACGTCGGGTAAAAAAGTTAAATATACGCGATAAATTCCGTAAAAATTAGTATTATTTCAATGTGTAGTGTTCGCGTAAATATAAGAAATTATTATATTAAAACAATAATTTGTTTGTCAATAATCTGTGCAAGATTGTGAAGATAAGGTTCATTCGCTTTCGATTTTTTTGTGAATTTAGTTGTAGTACGAGTAGACATTAAATAACAAGTCATATAATTCTAGTATACCTAAAATACTAAAGCAAATAGATTCATACGTAGGATCTCGTTTTAGATCCGTTTTCAGTAAAGATAATGCAACATGAAACATTAAGACGCAACGAAGGTCTTTAATTCGTTTGTAATCAGTAGCGGAGAAAACTTTTTGAGACCTACGCAGGTTATGTAGGTAGTTTTTTTGCCTAGTCTAAAAGCAATCAGAACACGTGAAATGACTAATTAATTTAATTGATAGAATCAGGCGTTACTTCGCGGAAATTCATTATAATAAAGATTAATATCTAATTCGCAACCATCCGCATTAATTAAATACAATGATGTGTCTTACCTGGATTGAATAGCACCTCCCGCCCTTCCTCAATTGCGTGCACTAATCCCGCCACCACTATTCCTAGTATCACTACTCCCAACACCACGCCTCGTGTAGAGGCGAAACACGTGTCGATGGTGTGTCTTTCATGGAATAGTGGTGTTGGAAGTCAAGTGCCACGTGCCGGGAGTGGTGGTGTTGGGAGTAGTGGTACTGGGAGTGGGACTAGTGGTGGCGGGATTAGTGCACGCAATTGTGGGAGGGCGGGAGGTGCTCTTCAATCCAGGTAAGACACATCACTGTATTTAATTAATGCGGATGGTTGCGAATTAGATATTAATCTTTATTTAGACTAATTAATTCTTCGGTATACTTATTTTACAACGTTCCATAATTTCAGTTCAAGGGATTAAGTTCAATCCCGATTTGTTTAATTATTTTTACTAGACTAGTACCTACCTATCTAAATTTATTGTCAATGACCATGTGACTTTATATTCCCATTTATTTGTACAATAAATTAAATAAAAAGGAACACTGGTCAATAGTTAGATCGGAAGATAGTATGATATAATTATTGTAATACTTTTATTACATACATATTATGTAAAGTGTTAACAAGTGGCTCTATCTATCGCTTGCTTATTGTTGCGTGCGGCAACCGCTGGAGGGCGTTAGATGTAGCGCTGCGGATTGATTGCGGGGAGGCGAGCGGTGTGAGGCGACAGGCAGCGGCGAACAGCGACAGCGGGTAACGCGCTACATTTTATTATTTATTCGCCGCGCGATCCGCGGGCCGGAGGTCGCTCGTGGAGTGTGTGCGGGGCCGGCGTCTCCCCGTTTTGTGTTGTCGTATCGAATCCGCAGTCGGGGTTCTAAGTGACTATTATGAGCGACAGGGACAGGGCGTCGCCTTCCCTCACGGACACGCCGCTGAAGACGTATATAGGTCGTCACGACGACGACTACCCCCTCATAAACGGAAACGGTGAGTGCAATAGTAACTACCGGCCCGAGGGTCGAGGGTTTAATTAATCAACAGATATGGCTCGGAGTGTGAAGGGCAACATCACGCGCTTGGTCCGCTGGCTGCAATATAGAGCGTCGTGCTCGTGCACGCTCACGCCGCGCGCAGGGCCACTGGGTCAGCGAGTCCGCGTGGCGCTTTACCGCATTGAAGACGCGGGTTCGATCGACCCAACGTCAGCCCCTTCCCAAATTTCGTTTCTTTCTCATACATATTATCTACATTTGCAGATAACTGAAATTGGATTTACGATAGCTACTATAATGTAGTGTATCTCTATTTTTTCACGTGGTGAGGTTTTATGATGGTGAAAAGTGGTACAAAAGTCAGTGTATGTTAGAGGTACCGTGGTGCGGTCCATGACGTCGGATCGATACGAACTTAGGTCTCAGTTCAAGTAAGTTTCGGGGGGTGGTATTATCGCGAGATAACGGCAGATCCGCAGCCGCCGCGCCCGGTCGACTTCCGCAATACCAATAAAATTTTATTTACAGGATTAATAAAATATCTAGCCTTTTTCGGTAGTTTTTAATTTAAGAACTACGGTAAACCATGAATAGCACGAGTAAATCTGTTTGAAAATTTCAGGGATTTTTCAGTTGCAATTTTCACTTTTCTTTAACTAATTAGTGATTACAATTTTTTCAATAAGATATTACTTCATTGGTGAAGGAAAGGTGCGTTGAATGAAATCGTAGATAATAGTTAGAGCTACGGATTTCAACATCGCATCTTCATTGATTCATTTAGCCTACAACAAGTTCACTGCTGAACATAGGTCCCTCACATAAATTGCTCATAGGGGGAATATTTGCCATAGTTGCTATGCTTAGCTGACGGTTTGCCAACCGCAGTTATTTATTTATAAATGCATTCTCATACAAAATATCACCTTCTCAGTCAGACATTTTTCAATGTGCGTTGTTTTAATATTCTAAGAACACTAATGAGAAAATGTTTTCCATTTTACGATGTCTGAACGTGAATTTTAAGATTCGAAAACCCGGAAACTGATTTTTGTTTTAATATTTTTTATTTGTACTCATTAGATACCTTTACAAGTTACAATATACGCTAGTAAATTTTAAATGCGGCCCACAATGTTCCCCACGTAGTCTGTAGTGATAATGAGAAGTAATATATATATATATATATATATATATATATATATATATATATATATATATATATATATATATATATATATATATATACACTGCCCGCGCGCCTAAAATTTCTTAAGAATATACATTATTATCTTAAAGCAGTTTAATTACAATGCGTAGTTTTCATCCATAGCAAACATAATATCTTATCTTTTTAATTACTTTATACAGCGGCGATATGAGTACTCATACGACCGAATTCCGGACTTGTCTTGGTAAAATAGGTCGCAGCTAGAATAGGTTTAAACTAGTATGAAATACATCAAGGTGAGGCCTTGTATTGTCTATATACTATGTATAACTCTAGTGCTATTTGAGGAACCCCTGTGCGGATGTAGATCGCTGGCTCTCTGGACCCTCCACTGACACAATTACACAATTAGGAAGGCAATTAGTCACTTCCATCTGACGCCAAAGCTACGAGACCCTTTCATCAGTTCTATCTTAAAGCGACTGTAGCAACCCGCGCCAACATTGGAAAAATTTTGGTATTTGCCTTAATTTTATAAAATCGATAACATCATATCAATCAATGAATGCAGCACGAATGGGTCGTCGTGACCGGGGAAGGCACGCTTTCCCAGAATACCAGCTTAAAATAGCAGCGTTATGCCGATGTTTCGTATGATGGGCGTAGAAAATCAGAGATCCTTTTAACTGATGAGGCGTTTTTTATTAGTCTTTAGAGGTGATAAGGATAAGTGATAACTGATAACACATCCATAAATTTGATTCTTAATCGAGTATAGATGTATGTGTTTATGGGCAACAGCAATTCGGTGATCATGTGACTTTGTACTCGTTTGTCACACATGGTTGTCTTATTCTATTTAAAAAAAGATATAAAATAAAGTATAAATCAAATCTCTTGGCAACGTACGCTTATACGTTTTTATGCACTTGATTCAAGTGCTCTGACTTGGGAGTTCAGTGTCATTGAGCTTCTTGATATTAATAAAGATTTTTTAAGCGATTACTCAGTTAAAGCGATTTTATCGAGTTATGGCAACCAAATCAAGCTTATCCCGGTGCAAACCGGACAGGATTAGTGTTTGTCCATGTCCACAGTCCATGACCGGAGGTGTCTTCGTTAGGATTTGATTAAATTAGGAATTGTCTGTTGCTTGAATAGTAGAATTACTTGTACTTGAGTCGCGATAGTAGCTCAGGGTAAATCGCTCTTTAAGAGGATTGTGGAACTGTAAATTTTCATACAAAAAGCTATAATGTTTTCCCTCCTGTAAACATAGTCTAATTTTCATTATTTTTGGAAATGCTTTAGATATAATGAAAACTATGTCGTACGTTTTTATTTTAAGGAAATATTACGTACGATATAAACAATTAGCATCTAAACATCTATACTTTTGACTTAAAAATTTCCTCAAGCGATTTTTTATTTTTTTAATGATAGCTTCATTCGTTTTTCTTTTTTAGTAATTAACCAAATTACTAAAAAAGAAAAACGTATAGACCTAAATTGAGGTATACTGAATCTAATGAGACCAAAATTGTCTCATTTCGTAAAGGTATAGGGGGTGAAAAAGTTATCGCTCCAAACAATATTTTAAAAAGAAAATGTAGGCAATTATTTTCAACATTTGCAACTCTATCGCGCGACGGCGATACGGAGCGAGCGATGTGAAACAAATAGCATTTTGGAATACTTTACTCGCCCCGCGTATCAGCACTTCACAGTCCTCTTAAATATTTTTTAGTTCGAGTCGTGCCGGAACAAATTCTTTTTACTTAATTTTCCACGTGCGCGATGGTAAAGAAAAGCTTTGTTAACTAACCTACACGTCTCAGTAACTAAATTACATTTAGAGGGCGTGTGAAATTCGCCAACACGCATTTACTTAAACCTAAAGACTCTCCTTTAACATAGAAACTCTTTCGGAATTGGGAGAAGGTCTGTGGCCATCCCTTTTACCATTAAAAAATTATATACAAGTTATTAATGAAATTAATTATAACCTGACTGAATATATAAGTGAGACAATTGAACTATTTTATTCTTACAACTGTCATTTATAATTTGTTCATTAAGTTCTGTATCTTATCCAAAGAATAACTTTTCTGATAATTGAAAAATCGGCTCCAAGTCAGACAATAAATTACATTTTTACTACAAGTATGTACGTGGTTTCCATAAATAACATAACATAAACACTCACGCCTGTCACCCAGAGGGGTAGGCGGAGACTACAGACTTCCATTTAGCACGATCCTGACATACCTTTCTCGCCTCTTCCACATCCATATAACTACGCATACATGCTCGTCGGATTTTGTCAGTCTTTCCGCATTCATTCTTTCTACATGACCAAACCACCGAAGCATTCCTTTCTTAATCCTGGTCACCGCATCATCTTGCAAACCACACTCTTCTTTTATCACACAGTTTCTCACCCTGTCACTCAGATTCAGCCCTAACATACTCCTTAGCGACCGCATTTCTACTACATTTATTCTACCCTCGTGCTTCTTCTGCCACACCCAACTTTCACTACCATACGTTAAAGTAGGGACTAATACAGCACTGTGAACTGCCATACGTGCCTTTTTTGACACATTCTGACTTTTCACAATAGAGTGTAGAGCCCCATTTACTTTATTTCCTGCATTCACTCGTCGTTCAATATCCTTATCATATCTCCCATCCCTGCTGAATACACATCCCAAATATACGAACTCATCCACTTGCTCAATTAACTATCCTTCTATTCTTATTTCACATACCATTTTGCTTTCATCTCTTTCAAAAACCATCACTTTCGTCTTACTTGCGTTCACTTTCATTCCCCTTTCTTTTAATGACCTGTTCATTAATGTAACCATCATTTGCAACTCGGTCGCCGACGACGCAAGTATGACTTGATCATCGGCGTACAAAAGGCATTTGATGGTTAACTCACCCATTCTTAACCCGCATACTTCAACTTTCAAATTTTCCAAACAGCTGTCCATAAATAGGTTGAACAGCCACGGGGAAGCTACACAGCTCTGTCTGACACCTTTATGGATGCCAAACCAGTCCGAGTAGACCCCGTTGATTCTAACACAAGCACTCCCTATACAGAGACTTTAATGCCTGTATCAAACACGCGCTCAACCTAAATGCGTACAGCGTTTGCCATAACACATCCCTATCCACTCTGTCATAAGCCTTTTCCAAGTCCATGAACGCACAAAAAACTTTTTGGTTTTTCGCCAAAAACTTCTCCGCGATCATGCGCATGGAAAAGACTTGATCTGTACACCCCATTCTCTTTCTAAATCCCGCTTGCACATCCCAAGTTTCTTCATCAGTTTCTTTCATAACTCTTTCAATTAGTACCTTAGCATACAGTTTTCCCACAATGCTAAGAAGGCAACCGCGGTAGATTTTACAGTCCTGCTGTGACCCTTTTCCCTTATATATTGGGACTATCACGGCTTTGCACCAGTCTCCCGGTACCCGCTTTAGTTCCCAACATAAATTAAACAAGGTCTACAGCAGGCCTGCCACCACGTCCTCTCCAGACCTTAGCATTTCGAGTGAAACTCCATCATATCCGGCTGCCTTACCTACTTTCATGCTTTTCATTGCTTTCATTATTTCAGCTATACTTATCTCGCTATCTCTTTCATCTTCTTTCGGAATTTCTATTTCATTTAGTTCACACTTCTCCTCACTCATAAATACGCTTTCAAAATATTCCTTCCATCTCTTTAGACTCAACACTTCATCATTGAGAATACAGCCATTCTCGTCTCGTATCGCATTCAATCTGTTTTGAAAGTCCCCTGGTA